TTTTTTTTTAAAAAGTAAGCATTGGGCCAATGAAACAGCTCAGCGTACTAAGTGCCCACTTTGGCAAGCGCAGGGACCAAGGTTTGATCCGTGGTCCCACATGCCACACCAGCCTTGCTCCCAGGTGCGCTGAGCCAGCTGGTGCACACACCTGTAATCCTAGCACTGCAGATGCTAAAAACTGGAGGATCACTAAGTCCAAGCTGCATAGTGAGACCCTGTACCCGCCCCCCCAAAAAAGTAGCCATAATCTAAAGGATTAAATATAAATTAAAACTTAGGGCCAGGGAGATGGCTCAATGGAATAAGCACTTGCCTGGCAAGCACAAGGGCCTGAGTTCAATCCCCGGTTGCACAAAAAAAAAAAAAAAAAAAAAAAAAAAAAAAAAAACCTTAAAGATTACCAAAAACTTGATCTACAGAAAATACCTTACTACAATCACATAATAATATGACAGTCTAGACAAATACAAAATGGCTTAAGAGCCTGACCAAAGTATACATTTTTTTGTCTTTTGGTAATACTATGATTCTTTAAAGATTTCAGATATTTCTAATTATTCTCTTTTAAGCTCTATTAATGAAAAGGGTGAAAATTTATTCAACAGGCAAACTAAGTTTTCTGAACGATATAACACAGAATCCAAAGCCTTGCAGGGAGACAAGCAGGCTCAGAGATCTTAGTTGCCCATCAATATTGTCCCTAAAGGTCTGGCAAAGCTGACTGGGAACACAGGCCAGGTGCTGCCATCCACTAATTCTTGCTCCATCCCAGTGCTGCCCAAGCTTCAGTAATTTACGTTCACCTAAAGATGTTTCTGTATACCACAGCCCTATGTCACTAAGGTTTTTGTCATTCTGCTTCTTTCAAAAATCCTCACATACACACACATTACACAGCCTCATCTCATTACACCCTCTTTCAAAAACTGAAGGTTTTTTTCCTTAGTTTTCCTTTTGAAACAGTGTCTCACTGTGTAGTTCAGGCTGTCCTTGAACTCGTTTCCCAGGCTGGCCTCAAACTTGCAGCAATCTTCTGGCCTCAGCCTTCCAAGTGCTGGGATTACAGACCTGCATCATCACACCCATTTTAAAAACTGTTAAAATACAATAAAATGTATCAATTTAATCATAAAGATACAATTCAATGATGCTAAGTACACTCACAATGGTATGCAGCTATCACCACTCTCCACTTCCAGAACTTATTTCCCATTCAACAGTAACTTCCTGTTCACCCCCGCCCCCAGTCCCTGGTAGTCTCTAATTTTACTATCTCTAAGAATTTTAGGGCTGGTGAGATGGCTCAGTGGTCTAAAGCACCTACTTAGAACAAGCTTAGCAAAGCACAGGGACCATGGTTCAATCCCCCAGCACCACATGCCAACCAGCCCCGCCCCCGGTAGGCTGAGCTGGCCACACACACACACACACACACACACAAATAAAATAAATTATTTAAAAAAAAAGAATTTTAATAGGGGCCGGGGAGATGGCTCAGTGGAATAAGCGCTTGCCTGGCAAGCTCAAATGCCAGAGTTCAATCCCCAGTTCCACAAAAAAAAAAATAATAATAATAATAATTATTCTAAGAACTAAGTAGAACAGTTACTCGTCTTTTTGTGTCTGCTTATTTCACTCTGCATGATAGATCAAAGTTTAACCATGGGAAAATATGTATTAGAATCTCAACTCATTTTCAGAAAATTTTATTCACCGATTAAGATCTAGGACTATTTCTATTAACTTAGACATACTGGGTTATGCATTTTCCTATGTGGCATTAAAAATTCCTACCATCGGGGCTGGTGAGATGGCTCAGTGGTCTAAAGCACCTACTTAGAACAAGCTTAGCAAAGCCCAGGGACCACGGTTCAATCCCCCAGCACCACATGCCAGCCAGCC